AACTTTATGGATTCATACTTAATTGTTCAACATTTTTCTTTTCGTTATTACGGTAAACGGTAAAATGTGTTCGTAGCAGGGGTGTAAATATAATCGAATTCAATATAAATGAAAATTTTCAAGTTTTATTATATCATGAACAACAACGATAACAATAATATGAATAGCTCGAGGTCTTTTGGAAATATATTGGAATTTACTTTTTATTTTCTCTTACCAGAATCGAAATCGAAAAATTGGGAACCAAAACTTATGGCCATTCAATTATATTGGTTTATTGATCGAAGATCAATAATAATTTTCGATTCATTCAATCTATTATTATCATCTTTTTATATAATGGTCATCATCATCATCACTAATGGCATATTGAACAAAGAATGAACAAAAAAAAACAGTATTGACAACTTTTCTTTTCACTTTTTTTTCTTCTAGTTGTTTGATATTTTTATTTTTTGATGGGTTTTTTTTGTTGGTTTCTTCAATGAATCGAAAATGATATTTAGAAAAATGAAATGATACGAATACTGAACAGTATCGTTATCAGTTCAATGGATGTCAATCTATAGATTTATTTTTATTGGCTTATCATTATCATCATCATTATAATAACTTGGAACTATGAACTGAAAAAAGTGAATGTCAATGAGAAATAATAATGATAATAATGTCATTTACACTCGAAATATGGAATATGATGATTTTGTGTTTAGATGGAAATGTGATTTGGTGTAAAAAAAGGTCAATTTTTTCCATTATTTTTCTCCATTGATGGTTATAATTATGAATAACAATTGGGAAAAAAAGAGAAATAAAGGAATCGATTTTGTTGATCGAGAAATAAAAAAAAAATCAATATGATAATCAGTTCGATGGATCGGTTATTGATGTTTATTTTGAAAAATTCATTTTTAAAAACGAATTTATTCTACATGTCCTCTTATTTGAGATATAAACATCATCTTTTTTATGTTTGATGGTTATTTTTATTTTTATTTTCACCAACTTGACTTGAAGTTATCTTGTTCATTTTTCATTTTTGGTCAATGATAATCTCAAAAACAAATTGATTGGATCTAATTTATCATTATGATTTTTGTTGTTGTTGTTGTTTTGTTTGAATTTCAACTTTTATTTAGATTGTATTCGTGTGTGAATTTCCTTATTATCTCCCCTCTATACAGTTTGTTTCATTTTCAATCAAGACCTACATTTGATCAATAACCGTCGAAAAAAACATGAAAATAAAAATAAATGACCAAGACAAAGATAACGAATGTTTGAAACGTGCTACACACACACATAAATACATTTCCGAAAAAAATGATCCGAAGGATATTTTTATTGTTTGGCCAAGAAAAATAATCATCCTATATGTGTATGAGAGAGTAGTTCACTGATTAATGATTTCGGATATCATAAAATTTTATAAAACAAACTTTTCTATACATCCATGAAATAGAATCATATGAAAACAGAAAGCTTTTTCTTTAATAATTCTGGCTGAAAAAATTTGGATTCAATATTGAAACTAAAATGTCAGAAAACAAAATCTTCACTTACTTAGACTCATCAAACACATCAAGTATTCCATAATAATTCAATTGGTGGATTCTGGATTTCAAATTATCAAAGACGAAGTTGAATTTTGATATTTAAAAGTTAAAAGAAAAATCCTGAATCAAAAATAAATCCAGATTCACATAAAATATGATCAATTAACATTCATGATTATTGTAGAATTTAATCATTTTTCTCATTTACTCATTTTATTACTTTTTCATTACAGAATTTAATGTGGACTGTTCCACAATTATTGATTAGTTTATTATTTGCTTTTGGCTATTTTTCTGTCATCACCATCTATTGAAGTTTATCAATTTTTCAATTGACTAACATGAATTCACACATAAAAGCAAACATTTTTTTCGGTTAAATTGACCAGAATTACTTCAGAATTGGAAAATGAAATGAAAAAAAACATTGTTAATGTTACTCACGTATCAATCAAATTGATAAATCATTTTCGGTTCTCGACAGTTTTTTGTTTTTGGTGAAGTTTAGGAAAAAAACATTCATTAATTTAGTTTTCAAAAATTGAATTCAGAATAGTGATGGAATAATTGAGAAAAAAAAACAATTTTTTGTTTTCATTTGAAATTTTTTTCCATTAAATCCTAAAAGATTTGAAAACCAGATAGAAAAAAACTGGTAGCCATATTTAAGAGGTCAGAAGGTCTTTTTGTTTGTTTGTTTCAATTTCTTTTTCTTGGTATCGTCCAATAACCAAGGACATTACAAAGTTTATAACAAAAATAAATTTGAGAATTTACAGTTAACTTTTTTTTGTGTTTCCACATACATACACACACACAATTTATTTATTCAATCCACCAGTTATTTATAGTTAGTCTTCAACATCATGACAATTCCATTTTTTTCCTCTATAAACACATGAAATCACATTTTGGAAAAAAAATGTTTATGTGAAATCGATATGTGCTTTTCTCTTTCTCTCTGTTTATTCAAATCAACAATTCATTTAAATTCTTTTTCTGTTTTGTCTGACATCATGCTGCTGCTGATACTAGTGATGCGATGATGATAGATACCAGTAGCCAGACGAAATGAAGAAAAACGGTAGACGAACATTGAAATATTCCTTGCGTTCAACCATCAACATCCAACCATTTGCATATGTCAGAAGATTCATTTGTCGAGTAAATTTTCCTTTTTGTCGGTCGGAATTGAACAAAACAAAAGACGAACAAGTGAAAAAAAATCTACCCACATTTTTAAATAGAAAGAAATTATTTTCAATGGAACACTAATTTTTTCCTATTCACTTGAGTTTCATTTGTTCTTTTAATTTCTTTCCCTTCTACATTTTACTGAAAAGAAAATGACAAATAAGAATAAAAAGCTAAAAGAATAATCGAATGAACGCACATATTTAATGAATGAATGAATGAAATCAGTGAAAAAAACAGCCAATTATTTTATCATCATATTTAGATCAGAATTGTTTTGCTGTCATTATTTTTTATATATAAACTATAGCTAAATAATATTAGAAAAATTACTGGGAAAAAATCACTGAAAAGAACTATAGAATAGAAAAAATGAATTGAATTAAAAATTAGAAGGAAAAGAAAAGACTCGATTCTATAGAATCAAGTCATTGTCAAATCATCAAACCATATCATCATCAAGCATCCATAATTCTGTGTGTTATCAGAAACCACTTATTCACCATTTCTCTTCATGTCATAATCGTCATACACAGACACACTAACTATATGTGAATAAATATTTTCAAATATGCCGGAATCATATCAAACATTATTTTTCATAGATTTCGGAATTTTAATTCTATTTTTCTATTTTTCTTATGTTCATTTGAAAAGAATTATTCTTTCACTTTATCGTTCTTTGTTGAATTTCCTAGTTCCGCAATATGAACAAGAATTGATTCTCTATAAATAAACATCCATACACACACACAAACAGACAAACAAACACCCACTCATTCATTGATTGTGTCAACATTACACTTTATTATTCGTCATTGAATTTTCTCTATTTTTTTCTGTTGTTGCTCCAACTAATATGATCATCACTTGAAACAATACTGATGATGATGTAATGGATTTTTCTTTCGTTTATTATTTGTCTATGACGTTACAAATGTGCTAATTTTGATTTTCTTCCTTTTCATACATATGTAAAAACACACATATCAATATCCATAGCCATTTTGTGAATTTAGATTTTGGAAAAAAGAAAATCCGTTTTAAAATGTTGTTTATGTCTGCGTGCCAATCGGCTGGAATTCAACAACAACAACAAACTCCCACTCATTTTTCATGGCATGTGTGGGGTTATATGCCCTGTCTGTGTAACTATTTATGTCTGCAGGCCCTGGATCATCCGTGATATTTTTCAGTATAATATGGTAAGAGAGAGAATGGATATTGTGTTCGTGTGTTTGGATTTAGGTTTGCCATTTTGCTTATTTTAAAAAATTTTGAAAATCCAGAATCATTTTTCTTCTCTTGTTGTTATTGTTGAATAAATAAAACATTTTTACTTTGGTAACAAATCTGCAAAAGAAAATATAAAAACAACGATAACAATTTTCATTTCATATAAATATTCATCGAATGCTTTGAATTTTGTTTTTGCACACATACGAAAATAATAATAATAATCGATACAATGTGTTTCTATATTTGTTTTTGTTGTTATATTTTTTCTCATGGAACAAAGATGTTTACCCAATCAGTTGATTTGAATATTTTCCTTGTCAATAACAGAAAAAATTAAACTGTCCATCGTTTGTATTTTGTTTTTTTTTTGGGGTAGTACATTTTGTAATTTTATTTTTTATTCAAATTCTAATCATTATAATCTCTGTTTTTCTTGAGATATTTTTTTTCTATCTGGAAAAAAAACAAAACAATGATCAAGTATTGTTATTGCAAATCTGAATGTTCATATATTTATTCAATCTACCAAAATATATTCAGCGTGTAGGTGAATAAATTTTTCTCCAATTTTTGATTGTATAAGAATAAATGAATGAATGAATATTCATTGTTCATATTTGTTCAGTGAACTATATGAATTAATGAATGAATGAATGGAAAGAATAATGATGATGACAGTAACGAATAATAATAGACAATTGTTTACAATTTATATCACCCATCAATCAGTATGATAATTTGATTGTATATATTCATCATCATCATCATCATTTTGTTCATACAACAAAAATGACAGGCATGAATTTATGTATTGAATTTATATTTTTCTTTTTCATTTCTGAAAATTTTTGACAATAGAATTCATCATCATGTTTTTTTTCAAGCAAATAAAAAAAATCGCGGGTAAAATTTAAAATTTTTATCATCCATTCATTAGTTGCCATCTAGTGTTCAGGTTTTCAAACAACCCGATGTGTGTTACATTATGTATGAATGAAGTGTTAAAATGCACATTTCATTTGATGATCCAATGCCAAACTCGGCTCGAAAATTATTTAAGAATTTGGATTCTTGTTTTGATTCATTTCGTTTTTTCTTTTCACGTACAGATAAATGGCTAAACATCATCCGGATCTAATTTTTTGCCGTAAACAACCGGGAGTAGCTATCGGTCGTCTTTGTGAAAAATGTGATGGTAAATGTGTCATCTGTGATTCATATGTTCGACCATCAACATTGGTTAGAGTTTGTGATGAATGTAATTATGGATCATATCAAGGCCGATGTGTTATTTGTGGTGGACCGGGTGTAAGCGATGCTTATTATTGTAAAGAATGTACCATATTGGAAAAAGATCGTGATGGTTGTCCGAAAATTGTCAATCTAGGATCATCGAAAACGGATCTTTTCTATGAACGTAAAAAATATGGCTTCAAGAAAAGATAATATATCTAAAAAATCACATAATTTTTCTGGAAAAAATAACATCACGACATTAATCATTGCTGTTTTATATCTCAATCGATCTCGATTTTACTTAAATATCTTGAATATCACATACAAATTTTTTTATTAATTTTTTTTGCCATTTCAATAAAATTGATATTTTGAAAATTGACTTTTTCATTGTAATTTCAACAAAGACAACAACAAAAACAAGATTAAAATCATGATAACAGTTTTTTAAAACGATGAAACTATATCATGAAATAAATTAATTTTAATTTTTTTTCAATGGATTGGATTGTGTGCAAATATATTGGAATCGAATAAGTGGACAACAACAACAACAAAATAAAAATGAAAAAAAGGTGATTGTAAATAATTGAACAATCAAGAATTGGAGAATGTACGTTTCACTGCATCCGAACGATTACGATTGGTCACTTCAGCTGTACGTAATGTAATGCCAAAAATATCCTCATGATAGCGCATCGTTTCCTTGTTAATTCAAGTCAATTAAAAAATGTTATTAATGATAAATGAATATTTAACTAATAAAAAAAAATACATACTTTAAGTGATAAAAGTGTCATATCAGCATCATGTATACCATTTTCATGTAATATAAATTGTAATGTTTTATTCACATCTTGTGCCATTGAAACATCACCACAAACATAAATATGGCCTTTTCGTTCGATTAGATCACAATAGATTTGTTTAGATAATAATCGCATTATATCTTGGACATATTTCTTAACAATCAGAAAAAAAAATCAGAACAACAGATAATTGTTAAAAACATGATTGATTTTTTGTTATATTATATCAAATTACCTTTGGCTGATTAGGCTGACGTGAATATGCAACATGATAGTCATTAATTACATTGTTAAACATTGCTTTTTCAATTTCTTCACGATAAAGTTGCATGGATGGATATCGGCAGCCAAAAAACAGTGTCATTTTACCATAATCGGCTGATGAATTTAATTCTTTCAGTTTGATTCGATGTTCCCAAAATGAACGAAATGGTGCTATACCGGTACCCGGTCCGACCATTATAATGGGAACTTTTCGTTCTTTAGGTAGACGAAAATTCGGTGCACTTCTAATGAATGCAAACACATCACCGCCTACCGGTTTATCGTTAAGAAAATTTGAACAAACACCAAAATGTCGATTACCACTTTCCGTATAATATTGTATGACAGCAACAGTAAGATCAATTTGAAATGCAGATTGTGTAAGCGGCGAACTTGATATCGAATAGTGTCGTGGTTTCAATACTGGCAACTGTGTAAAAATAAATTCTAAAGGAGGATTGATGGAACTAAATTCAGTCAATATCTGGAAAATAATTATAAAAAATGATAAATTTAAATTTGAATAACAATGAAATTTAAGTATGTTATCTTTTAAATACCTCTAAAAAATTAGGAAAATATTTTGCTTTCCAAGTTTCATAAGCGGCCGAATCTTTTGAAAGATTTTTCAACAATTCCGATTCATATGAATCGGATGCATGTTCAGACAATATGGACAGAATTCTTTGTGTTGGCGGATTGGTTATATCCAGATAACGTGTTAATGCTTCTTTTAATGTTACTGGCGAAGGTAAACGATCATGTAATATCCATTTAAGTTGTTGTTCATGATCATTTGTTGTTGATTTATTTTCCCCACAATTTGAATTATTGTTACCTAAACCACCGAAAAAACTATTACCGCTATTTATTGATTCACTCAATTGATTTTCCATCGATGAATGTTGTGATCGAATTTTAATCACATATGGCTTTGTTGGTTGTAATGATGGATTCAAAATACATAAACGATCAATTATACCCTGAACTAATTGTGATGAATTTTCCGGATATACTGCCAGATGATCACCCGGGTAATAATGAACATTTGGCTTGATTTCATCAATTGTTTGTTGTTCATCATTTTCATCATGATCAATTTTCAAAGTAATTCGAATGGTTGGCCGATTTGCTTCTTCTAAACATTCTTTTGGATCCATCGGATCATGTAAGTTTTTTCGTTCAATCAATTTATAATGATTAACTTTTTTATTGTTACTTAGTTTAGATAATGCTAAAACAAAAAGAAAAAATAATGTACATAGATATTTTAATATAAATGGAATACGAAATAAAAAAAACTTATTACCTTGCTGTATACGTTTTGATTCTTTTGTTACATCATCGTCGAATTCATTATCAATTTCATCATCATTACTATTTATATTTTCATCATCAAGTCGAACATTTTCTTTACACCATTGTAATGGTTTTTGTGCGGCTAAACGTGTGACAACATTCATATCCAATTCATCAGTCAAACAGAATACTTCACATGCTTGTTCAAAAACTTCAGCTGACCATTCATAAAATGATTGTTCTTGACCACAAAGTTCATCACCAATACCTAAACGTGTTATACGTTCACCACCTAATTCGGCTAACATTCTATCCAGATAATGTCCAAATGCACAAAAATTTGGATATGCACTGGAACCAAGTGCAAACACAGCAAATCTATTTGATTGAATGATAATGAATATCATTTTTCAATTAACTTTGATATTATCAATTTTAATAATGTTTTTCTTTTTACAAATAATAATATTCAATAACGATTAAATATTGATTATTTTAAAATTTTAAATCTTTCTGTTTGTATTTTGGCCAGTTATATGGAAAAAGAAAAGAAAAAACATGAAACGATTAAGAAACTTCTTTTTTTTTTGCTTTTTCAATTCTTGTCAATGTCTTTGTCATTACAATAATTGAATCGAATTGTTGACATTGCTGCTTTTTTTATCTCTTCTCTATTCGATTGATGCTATTTATAACAAAAAAGTTTTTTTCGTTTTTTACCACTAACAAAAAAACCTTAATACTACGATTCAAAAATTCTGCCAACTAATCAAATTATCCTGAAATGAAGAAACGATCGATTGATAGTCAAACAAAAACCAAAAAAAAAGTTAAATCATGGTGTGCGAGTGTGTGCATACAAATCAATTTTTTAACACACACAGAATTCGATAAGTTTTTTCCTGATAATAGATTGAATTCGGCAAAAAAAACTTACCTAACATTACTAAGAGGACCAACATGATCGGCAAATGTAAAATAATCATCACCAGCTGTATTGTTTGAAATTATTGGTGAAGATTGATTGAATGAATCGAATGTACCACTGGTGATAGTACGTTGTTTATCATCCACATTCAAATTAACACTACTACCTTGTTCTGAAGTATCCAATGATGAATAGCGTAGATAAGTAACTGGTAATGAAATTGATTCACGATCTAAATCCGGTGCCGTATCACCGGTCATTTTAATTGCTTGTAATTGTTTAGCAAATGATTCACCATTTTCCGGTGGATCACCATTTCCAAATGTACTTGTAACACATAATAATAATGTTTCATGTTCCAAATGTAGCATATCATATGAATCCATACAATATACTGAAACATTGAATACATGGGAAAATATTTGTCCAAGTCTTTTGGCAAATTGTTCAGATCGACCTGTTTCCGTTCCATATAAAATCGTTGCTTTAATACGTTTACTCAAAGCTTTGCCTGCAGGATATCATTCAAAAGAGAGAAAGAGAGTGGAGAAGAGAAAAAAAATCCATTTAAGAAAATGGAAGAATAAAAAAAAAGAAGAATTATAGATCGATACAATCAAACATATTAAGATTTCAATGAGTCATTCTTTCTTTTATCATTTTGTTTTTCACATTTTGCTCACAACACTTACCGAAAAGATTCGATGTGAATTTCACTGCTTTAGCAATCTCTTTGAAACGTAATTTTCTTGGAGTCGATGTTATTGAATTATGTTCATCAAGATTACCATTACGCCAGATGTGTGTTTTCCATGCCGGTTCCTGATATTTGTAAGCCGGTTTTAATTCATAATTAAGCATTTCTTGATGAAAAACAGGTGTCAAAGATCCTGAAATGGGTGGAACAATCCAAACCCAATCGCCAGGACAACCACCGCGTAATCGATTTTCATTTTCTAAATGTTTCATAAATGATTCAGCTGCTGTATAATGATCAACAATGGTGACATTAGCTTTTTGAAAACTATACAATACAGCAGTATTGACTTCAATAACAGCACGATCTTTCCAAAGACTTGCATTAGAATTCATATCTAAGCTCATGTATTTGGCAACCTCGGGTAATATATTATATCGATGTATGTCACAAAGATCACGAACAGCAATCTCAGTATCCATATACCAACCGGAAAATGGACATGCAGGAAATTCAATTCCACCAACATCAAATTTCATTGATGATACAGCGGGTAATGCATACCATTGAATATCCAATTCTTCAAACCATTTATATCTTATGAATAAAGGGGATAGAAGTGGTGAAACAAAATAATTACAAATTTATTCAAATTAAATTAATTTTTTTTCTCTCTCTTATCATCATTCTGTATTTAAAATACTAACTTGGGATGTCTAATTGGAACACGAAGAACTAAATCTTCACTCAATGGAAATAGTTGTGGATCTTCTCCGGGCACTGAGATTACAATTGGTAATATATCCCATTTGGTTTCTGGTGCTTTCCAACCAAGTTTCGTGCAAATCTTTCGTGATTATAGTAAAAAAATGAAAGAAAAAAAACGAATGTTTTAAATGACAATCAAGCAGAATTCTAATCAAAACAAAAAAAATTCTCATGGGAAATGATTTAATCAAATCCATCTATTTGTTGAAAATTTCAATTTTTCAATAAAAATGAAATTGAATTTCTTTTTTTGATAATTTTTTTTTTTGCTTTATAATAATTATTCAAAACAAAATAAAATGTTAGATATGACAAACCTGTGTAAATTCAACATTAATCGGATCACCAATGATTGTTTTTGTCGTTTGTTGATCATGATGGCTACCATTTTCAATCGATATTTCTTTGCTTTCATTCGAATTTATAACATAACCAGCATATGAAATTAATTGCTGATTCCATATACGATAATCTTCACGACCATTGATTCGTTGTGGAAATATTGTTATAGCCGAACTATAAACAAAACGATTGACATTAATTAATAATCATAGAAATCGATGCATAGAAATACTAAACCGTAAATTTCCTCGATTTGTTGCATATTTGATTTGATTACAAATTGCTTCAAAAATTTCATGTGCTGTTTTACAGCTTCGTGCATCGAAAACCTGTAATAAAAACAATAAACAGAAAGCGAAAGAATAGAAAAAATTATTTCATTTATAAAATCCTGATGATGATGATAATAGCTTAATATAATACAATCAAATTATCGAAACGATGTTTTTTCTTAATTTCAAACAATAGAATCAATTCAAAATCAACAACAACGAGGTGAACAAACGGAATTGTTTAGTTTTTCACTTAAATTCTTTATTTTCTTTGAAATAATCATACAATAATAATAAATCAGATTGGATCGATTAAAATCCATATCGATTTAATCAAGTTCAATTTTCTCAATTCATGACCATTCTTGGAAAAAACGAAAAGACAAGAATTGAACGAAAACATTTTTTTTGTATTAGCCTGATTGGCTGAAATTTACAATGGTTATTACAGTATGTCATGACAGAAAGAATCGATAGTGTTGTATTTTTTTTCGCTTTCTTGTTCGGGTTATGTTTATTTTCTTCAAACAATAAGCAAGTCTAGAAAATTATTAATTGCAAATGTGTTTCAGAATTATTTCGGTTCATCAATTCATTTGATTACGCATGACATCATTTTTCTTTTTCTTTTCTTTTTTTTCTGTGTTGTTGGTGGCTTCAACTTTTAAAAAGTTAATGTTATCCCGCCCCCAAATATTTGATTACAACTTAAATCAAAATTGATCAGGAATGAAATTAATGAAAATTGGCACACATTGGTGGGCCTCAGTTATTTCTTAGTTTTAAGGCAACTAACTAATGTCAATCAGATTGTATCATCATCATCATTGTCAATCCGGGCGACTACCAAAAAAAAGAAAAAGAAAATATCATATAGAATGAGAATCGAGTAGGAAAAAACTAAATCTTACAAATTCAGAGTGATTTTTCCGAGTAAAATCATTTATGATATAAGAAGTGGACAAATTTTTTTTCATCTTTTCTTTTTTTTTGGTTTCCGCATTCATTTTGTTTTTTCTCAAAATCACTCGATGATGAAAAAAACTAAACGTGCTTAGAATGTTCCTGGAAAATTTTTTTTCTTGTTTACGAGAGGAAAAAAAAGTTCCCACCGGAAATCGGCTAAATAAAAGAGGGTGAGAGTTCATCGAGTTTGTACTAAAATAGTGAATGGTTATTAAAGAATTTTTTTCAAACTTTAAAAAAAATTGTGTTTGCCAAATCATTTTGGTAAATATAGTATTTGATCAAATATTGTTTCTATTCGGTTTGTTTCTCTCTATTTCGGATGCATGTCTTTAAAGACATTTATTGTTTGAGGCTATTTGGACAATTGAAAATGGCTAAAATAATCAAGTGGGATTTTGTTTTGACCAACATTTTGTTTAAATAATTTTCGTAAATGATTTGAAAAAAAGAATAACATACCTGAAGTTTTGACCATTGAATACGGCCAATACATCTTGGTGCATTACGCCAGCCTAATTTGGCACCAAAAATCAATTCAGTTTGTTTCAATTGATAGGTACCGGTTGATCGTATTTCAGCTTCAATTTCACGTAATCGATTACGATGTGCAGGTGTATGTAAACGTTTGATCGATGTATAATATTGTTCCATAAATTGATAGGCATCATTTAACACCTGTTCTTTACTACGTTGTTGACCTATAGCATCACCGGATTGTTGTTGTTGATTGTTAGTAGATGGATCCAAATTCGACACTTGTTGTAATGGACATATTCCAAGATGTTCTTTTGTTTGTTTCATCAATGAACCAAGACAAACCGATTCCGTACATGATAATGGCTAACATTTCAAATTTATATCAAAAATTCAAAAAATAAAAAATTTACATTTAAATTAAAGAATAACTTTTTACCTGTCGAGCTGATTGATGTAAAGTATCCACAGTAACATTTGATGTGGCTACATTTCGTATTCGTATTGGTCTTTGACCGATGCAAATCGACCTATCAAATAAATGAATGAAGCAAAAAAAAACGAAAATAGATGAAAAAAAAATCAATTCAAAATTAAATTGAATCAAAACCTAGAATTGTAAAGATTCATCACGAATCAACAATGGATTATTTACGCTCTAGTTGATTGATTTGGAAAATAAAAACCAAACTAAACTAAGTGAAAGAGATAATCAACGAATTTACAATTCCAACAAAATGAGAAAATAAAAATTCAAAATAAAATCATTGTAAACGAATGAATGAAGAATGAATTCCAGAAGAAAAAAAAGAATGGGAAGAAATATATTTAAATATTATGAATGAGAAGAAAAAAAATCATTGATAGAAGAAATAAAAGTTTGAACTTGGACAGAAGTTATATTGTATGCAAAAATATAAAAAATAAATTCGATGATGAATAAATGTCACTGGCAATACTGTCGGTCGGTGTATGTGTGTGTTAGTTGATGGAAAAATTGAATAGAATTTCAATTAAAAAAGTAGAAATATAAATTCATTCATTCTATAGTCTTTTATACTATTTTTTCTGTTAAACTTTACAGATTTTATTCAAATGATGATGAAAATCATCAAATCCAATCTAAAAAAAATTCAAGGATACCAGCCAATACTATATGTATTTATGTTAATTTTCCTTTAAAATTATCGGGGAAAAATGTTTGATTTATTATCAGCATTATGATGATGATCACAATGATGAACAGAAAACATTGTATCGAAAAAAATGACAACGAATCGACCAACAAAGTTTAGCGCAAACAAAATATTCCTTTAAACATATCCTTTTTTTCACTCTCTCTGAAATACTTGTGATACTTTGCACTCTATCAATGATGATTGTAATGGTAAATGATGATCATCATCACTTTTTTTGTGAATGTAAAATATATAAACAACAACAATAAAAATGACTTTAAATGTAAAACAAAACAAAACTTTTGTTTCACTCCAAAACAAACAAAAATTGAAAAACAAAAACAACAGAATATTCTATTTTATTTTTTTACAAACATTCTTTTTGTGTTTGTTTATGTTTTTTTTTTCTCGCTCTCTCTTTCTCGATTCTGTCAATGTTTTAAGATCAGAGAAAAAAAATTTAGCAAATAAAAATGGACAATATGGCTGATTTGATGATGTACAGGAAATAAATGAACAAAGTTTTTTTTGCTCTTCCCCTATCAACATTGATGAAGAAGAAGAAAATGTTGATGAAAAACAGAATAAGTAGCTTAAAAGTTAGTTAAATTTATTCCAAACCTCAGTAATCAACGACAGCGGTGAATGGAACAAAAAAAAACAACAAAATCGTAGGAAAAAATGTAGTTAAATTGTCGCAACCGATGAATATAGATTAGAAGTGAAAAAAAACAAATAAAAATAAATAATGATAATGATAACAAGCCAAACAATAAAACAAAAACAAAATTGAATGCGGAAAACAAAATAACAACAACAATGATGACAACCGAAAAAATTCAACTATAGTAAACGCACGTATATTTTGAAACATTCATTAGAATGAAATTTATTGTTCAAAGTTACGTTCCCGTTGAAGTGTCCTTTTTATCAATGTTTTTTTCTTTCTTGTTTTTTTAGGAAATAACGATAATTTTCCATTGGACAACAACAAGAACAACAGCAAAGACAAAAAAAAATGAAGCCATCAACCAAAAAAAGAAAGAAAGAAATAAAAATGAAAATTCGAATCCAAAGAATGATTCAAGACGACGATTCTGATTGATGATTAATCTTTTATGATTTCGTATTTTTGTTGAAACAAAGTTATGAATGAATGAACAATATCAGAATGATCTGAATTGTATGATTTAAAGAAATAAAAATTTCTATTTTTTTTAAAGAATTACAATTCGTAACCGGAAGCAATTCAGTTACGTGATTTATGTACGAACATCATCAACATGATCATTATGTTCGAATGTATTTTGGAGAAAAAAAAATTCCCATGATTGATGATTATTTCTAATGATGAAATTTTCATGAAAAATTTTATAATTGAGATTTGATTCAAAAAAAAATCTAATCATTTTTTCTATCGCAAAACAATGTAACAAAAAAACTTTTGATTAAGAAATTTTGTTGGGATATTTTTTCAGAATTTAAACGAATGATAAATAAAAAAAGCTCTGAAATTCAAAATAAAAAACAAAACAAAAAATATTCATTGTCCTTGTCATTATTATTTTGATAAATTTCCCATTTGTGCTACTGTATTTTTTGTTTTGTTTCAAATTGAAAAAAAACCAAACAAACAAACAAACAACAACTAATATCCATGAATTTGAATAAAAGATATATTTGTTGCATGCATGAAACGTAAGTTTTTTTTGCTATTTGTTTTCAATCTTGCATAAATCATTTTGGGAAGAAAATAAAATTCCCAAAATTATTACCATTATACCTGTGTTTTTTATTTATTTATTTACCAAATTCGTCACATACATACTGTGTTTTCTGTTCATTTATTTTATTCTATTTTATTCATTAAATTATATTATATTTTTTTCTTTCTATTTACTGATAAATTTGAAATGATAAATTATCATTTCATTACAGCAATCATGATAAATGAATGAATGAACTTTCTCATGTTGTTATTACTGTTGCAGTTGTTTGATGATGTTTTCTCGCTATTAATGGCCATGTTATTGATTGATAAATCATTTTGAATGAATGAATGATTGAATGAATCAGGTAAATAAAACAAAAAAAAAGACCAAACAAGAAAATTCCAATATTTACTTTTTTTTATTGGATGTATTTCGGTGTTCATTTTTCAATTTACATTTTATTAAATATATATTGTATCCTTGTTGTTGTTGTCATCAAAGAAAGTGAATGAGGGGAAAAAAGAAAGAAAAAATTCTTATTGCTACCAATCGTTGAAACAATTTTTTTTGATTGATACTTTTTTCTAATATTAAATATTCCATTGTTTTATGTTTATCCATATGAAATTGTTTGTAAAAAAAACTTGTCAAGGGTTATCACACACAAATTTCTTGTGACATTTTTATCAAATATGAATGAACATAAACACAATTGATTGATTGTTTCAAGATTTGATGATTGCGAAAGTAGGAGAAAAAAATCTCATAAATACAATTCTCCACTGTAATATCAGATTTTTTTTTGTTTTGTTTATTTATTTACTTGATTAACGCAAAACAAAACCAGAAAAAATGTCAGCAACTAGAAGAAAGAAAAAAACGTTATCGAGTTAATCCATCTGTTTGGATTCACTAAAATTTTCTCCATATCACGAGTAATGAAAAACATGTTTATTCAAGCTAAAAGCGGCATACCTTTTTTCTTGGTCTATTCAATATCATCCATTTAAAATGGCAAAAAAACGGATTTGATTCAATCAATCAGTTTTTTTTTGATTATTGATGATGATTGGCGGCAAATCTATTATATTAGTACTACAAATAAATAATTGTCTGATTGATTATTATTGAGTGATTACTATCCTGCTTCTCTTTCTCTTATCGATGTACACATAAAAAAACACTATGTTTAATAATGATAATCACTTAGGAATTTTGGTAATTTCATTTTATAAACACAATCTTTTCAACAACAACAACAAAAAATCAAACAGATATTTGTTTTGTTTTTCATTTTTGATACACCTTTTTTTCATGAATTCACCAAAGAGATTTGAATGTGAGAAAAAAAAACATGCACAAAAATAAAATAATGGATCATTTGACTAATTGTGTCACAAAATGAACAAGCGATCCATATTGATTTAGTCCTATTATTCAATTTGATGATTATAGAACAAATAGACAGGAAAAAACGTTATTCCAGGAATTGGTACTCTTTTTTTATTGAATTGAATTTTCATTGAATTATTCGAATGAATGAATGAATAATAGTGGATGTTTAGATCGGTGAATCCAATGAAAAGAAGTGGGTAGTATTTTTTTTCTTTCTTTTTTTTTGGATTGATTCCTATGGATCAGAATTGAAAATCCTAGAATCGATAATGGTCATTCAATTCATTTCATTTCATTTTTATTTATTTATTTATCTAGATTTAAAGGATTTCTCATTTCCAGATCTTGAATTTAGTCGGTAGCCTATTATATGAGATTCGTTTTTTTTCATCTTTCTTTCAAACTGGTTCTTGAATCCAATAACATTATATGATGGTTAATAATAATAATAATAATAATAGGGCTATTGAAAATGTCTCTTTAATTTATATATTGTCGTTGTTTGTAGATATTGAGATATCCTAATTCATTTGTTTTGTTTTCTTCTTTTTTTTTTGTTTGTTGATCATGTTAGTTCAATTTGAAAATTTCAAATTATAGCCCTATACTAATATCAAAATCATTTCGATGTCTTACAAATTCTATTATTATATGATGTTGATGATGATGATGATAATAAAGTTGTTGATCGTTTCGCATAAATCTGGCCTAGTGAAAAAAAATAGAATTGAATCTGAACATTTTTCGATCAATAATAAACCCCAAAAACACATATAATGATTTATAGATTGATTTGAACTATTTATTGACTCGTGAAAATGTTTATAACGAGTTCGATGAATGAATGCGTCACCTTGCGTTGAATGGCCTAGTACCCTTTTTTTGAAAAATTGATTTCGATTTTTCAATATGAAACACATGAATGATGTCATTTTGCCCATAGTTAAGTAAGCGTAAAAATCGATTAACATATGGCTCCGATTCTTTTTCCAATTTCATTTTTATAAATTTTTTTTTCTTACAAAAAGTTCAATTGACTTACCCTTTCCGTGTACGTGATTGATTTGTTGTTGATTCTTCGGTTATAGTTGTTGTAGATTGTGGTAACAAATGATGATGATTATCGATATGATTTTGATGTTGATGATGAGAATGGTCATCATCATCATCAACAACATCATCATTATTATGTGATTGTTGATGATGATTACATTGATCATTAATGTTAACAACATAATTATTTGAAATTTCATTTGATTGTTGTTGACAATTAGTAGTAGCTCTTTCAGTAATTCGAATTGTTTTCGATGTACCATCTTCTTCAAACGTAGTGACCAAACGTGTTACATAACCGTATGGTGCACGTACCATAAATGATGCATATGTATTCATCGGCGTTGATGCTAATGTTTGTATTGCTTCATCATATGTACATTTTGATACATCCAAATTATTAATACGTAAAATAATATCACCATCACGTATTAGACCGGATTTTTTTGCTTCACAATCATTTTCAATTGATGATATTTGTAATACGGGTGGTGCACCACGATCCTGAATATTCAGACCAAAACCAAAACCTTTAACAGAATATGGTGAACGCTTGAGACGAAGTCTCATTACACTTGAATCCTGATCGAACGATGACATTTTTTGTTTCAAAAAAAATTGTTGATTTGACAAAATAAAAATTTAAAAAGAAAATCAATCCAAAAGTTTGAATTTTAATTGGAAAAAAATTTGAAATCAATTAATTTTAGTTTTTCGATTATTACACACATAAGAAAACAAAAAATTATTAACACAAACAAAGAATGCAACAAATTATTATTTTCAAACAAAACAAAACCAAAAGTTTGGATTCAATTCTTTTTTTCACTGAATGACAAACACAGAATGAATCAAAAACCAATGGACAACTAAAAGAACTATCAGATTTGAATCAAGTTTAAATACTTTTTTTCACTACAATTTATATAGATATTATTTAGACTTGAAATTTTGTAAGAGTGCGTGTCTTATATCAATACAAATAAGCAATATGACAACAATATATATGGGTTTGTAAAGCCCAAGGCGCCAAATTATTATATTGTATAAAAAAATTGTTTCTGCGCAATATCGAAAAGGTGAAAAAAATATAATTTTTATCAAACACCCAAGTATATAAGTTGATAGGAAAAAACAAAATGTGTTTGGCGCCCTTTATTTATAACAAAACCCGATAGTGTTATTATTATCATCGAAATAAAAATTGGATAGTATCGAATTGCCGAACACACATCTTTTATCATCATCATTTTCATCTTTTTTTTCAATGCTATTTTTAATGTGAAGCCAGAAAAAAATGATTGTACAACTTGTCAAATTGTCGATTTTTTTGCCGATTGAACAACAACAACAACAATAAATTTGATTTGATAGAAAAAAGATTCATTCAACTTGAACTTTCTTTTTTTTCCAAATTATTGTTGATAACAATGATTATTCAATCCTTTTTGATTGTTATCACTTTTTTTTTGATTCTATGGATTTTTACCAGATACATATTTTTTTGCAATTGTTATTCAATCTTTGTCCCATATTTGATGCCGATTTTAGTCACAAACAAAAAAAAATGAAAAAAATGAAATTCAAAACGATCAAAGATCGAGATGAAATAATAACCGTTTTGTTTTTTTTCAATGAAATTCATACTTATTCGTTTATAAGATGTCATTAGATTGTCATTATTATGATCATCACAAACCAAGCCAACAACTCCGATTTTTTTTTCTGTTGTTGTTTTCAGTAGTGGCTAATTAATTTCAGATATAATTGTATTAACACTTATATCTGTAGGTCATGATTTTCATGGTACTGCTTCGTTATTTTCGGTATCCATGCTTTTTTGAAATTTATATCTCCATATCCTACCACTATAGTTATTTAATATATCAACTTATTATCCATGATAATAATTCTAATGCTTATTGTGAAACAAATAACCAAATCTTAAACTCAACTGAAATGAAACGAACATCATTCAATAGACTTATGTAGACAAAAAAAACAACATTAAAACACAGGCACAAATGAATGATGATATAATAATAATGACAAACACCAATAGTATACGCCGATAGATCAAACGATAAGCCACCACTATCATTGGATTCATGATAGAACATAATTTTTCTCATCTTATTTTCTTAAATAAAATCTACGCAACAAAGAAGCAAAACAAAAAATTTCCCTTTCACACATTGTTTTTCAATGCAAAATAAAGAAAAGAAAAAAACAATGAGAACAAGATGATGGTGATCATCATCAACATCATAAGAACTTTGGAGAGAGAACAAATTAATGATACTTATTACGTATTATTATCATTACGCATACTATACAAACAACATGTATATAAGAATTCAAAGTTTCCTTTCTTCATCATCGTTGTCTTATTATTATTTTGTTTTTGTTTTTTTCTTGTTCTTTTCAATCCAACTTCCATACGATTCATTAAATTTATTATAGCCGAATACAAATACAAAAAGGGAAAAAACAAGACAGCAACAACAAAATATTGTTGTATCTCTAAATAATTTTTATCAAAAAAAAACAAAATCCATTGAATTTGTATAATATGACCGCCCACAAAAAAAATTTGACAAATCAATCTGACAATCATTCGTTTTGGAGTGTATTTTCTTTGTTATCAACAAAAATACAATAGATTTTCATTCTTCTTTTTTTTTAAACAAAACAAAAAATGTACAATATACAAGTGATTGAGCCAAAATGCCGTGGTCCAGTTTCGAGAGAATGGTCGATTCTATAGTTTTTAGATATGATCTGAAATGTTTGGTACATTTTTCAGTTTATTCAAAATGAAAATGAATTTTAATTAAATAGGACAAAAAAAAAATGTTAATGATTATTTTGAATTTTTTTTTCGTTTTGCAATTTAAATAATTGCAAAAATGAAAAAATTATTTTGTTTTCTCAATAATTTATTTTTTGAAATGAAAATTCCGTTGCTTTTACTTAGCTAGATTTTTATTTGTTTATTTGTTGTTGTTGTTGAAAAATTTTAAATCCCGTCATGCCGGATAATGATTGTTTGGAAAAAAAAATATGGATAAACTTGTCATTTGTTCAATTAGTTTACATAAATAGAATACTTCCTCGAAAAAATATAAAACAAAATAAAATTCAAATCTTTTTACATTGGATCAATGATGAATTTTTTTTACCGCCTAAAAATTCTTGTTCAATAATTTTGACACACAAATCACAAAGCAAACAAAAATAGAAAATTAACCGAAATCCATTTCTATGATAAATCTCTGCAAAAAAAACGACAAAAATAAATAACAGGAGGCTTACCGTTCATATCCCTAGCATTCAATTTCACAAGTTAATTATTAGAATGTCAAATAGAATTCTATGATTCACTCGTATACTGTCATTATGTTTTAATTCATTATGGTTTTTTTCATGATTATCATAATTTTTTTTTCTTGGATTAATGATGATAACATCGTATATATATGATCTTATCGATCGGATAGTAATATTTTTATGTGGTTATACACTATGAGAAAATGATAAATCAATTTTTCTCCGAGAAAAAAACTACAGAGACAAAAATAAAAGAGATACAAAAAAACCAAGTGGTTCAAGTCAATAAGGAACAATAAGAAACATTTTTTTTCTTTTGGGATCGTTGTTGAATCAACAAAACCATTATAAAAAGCTTTGAATGACAAGTAAAAAACAGCAATGAAAATTTATTTTCATTTTTTTTGTTAAATTTTATTGTATAAATTTGACGTGTTTTTCGTAAAAAAAAACAATGATGATGATGATTATATTGCGTTCATTGAGAAATAAAGTAAAATCTCGTCCGTTTTAAATTGTTTTTTTCTTCGTTGTCTTTTATTCCAATTATCATCAACGAAGAATGAGCGTAGAATTTTTTTTTCTTTTTCCTGGTTAACATCATATTATTTTATTCTTTTTTTCCGACAAACAACACTCATCACATTAATTGTAGATTGCAATTCATGCCGACAAAGACATTTTAGGGAAAAAAATTTGAATTCTTCGTTTTTTATCCATTGGTTGAAGTGACAAAAACAAATACACACTGACAATGGCTTTTTCGAACAAATATTTTTGCTGATTCAAATTCCGTTTTCGTTTTTCTTTTCTTTGAATGGAAAAACTTCCAAATGACACAAAAAAATTTCAAGAAAACTAAATTTAATCGAGAAAAAATCTGAATTCTTTCATCTTTCATTCTCTCAATTTCTTTTGAAAAGTTTTAAATTTGATGAAAATCAATAGACGTTTATAGTTTAATTATTGAAATTTAAATTATCTAATTCGTTTAGAAATTTCCACAAAATTTTACAATTCAATAAAAAGAAAGTGAAAAAAATTATTTCATTTTAAAGTTTAAACAAAAGACATTGAAAATTTTTATTGAAAAATTATTGCTCGAACCAAATAAAAAGAAACAATAAAAGTTTCGATCAATTCATGCTATATCGATATGTGATCGATAATTATTTTTTCAAAAATATTGGAACAAAACAATAATTCATTGATCGTTTGATCATCATAATCATTATAAAATGAAAAATTGTTCTTGTTGTTATTTTATTGATTGAAGTTACAAAGACAGAAATGAAAAGAAAAATAGCTAATCAATGGTTCCCAAATGATATCCAGTGAACTAAGATAACAAATGAAGAAAAAAAGTGAAGAAAAACTTTGATTTTTCATGATTAATAATATTTTTTTTGGTGCACTTTTCATGTCCAGAATTTTTGTTTCTCACATTTGTTTTCATTGTCTGTATATAAAACAGTTTGACGTTTGTTTTTCTTTCTTTCTTAAATTTTATTACAACCAAAAAAATCCGTTATTTATCTGTCATTTCTCTTTTGTAGTTTTTTTTTGGAAACGTTAATCGTCAGAAAAAAAACGTAATTCTATAGTTATAATCTAATTATAGACTTCCTTTATATATGGATGTTAACAGAATTTGAAACTCGAATGAAAAAAAAGAGCTAAATGATTAAATCAACAGTGATGCTGATTTTATTTCAAACAACAAAATCATGGTGATAAAAAGATCTTAATCATAGCCAAACAAAAAAATCTTTTTTAATCTCAACAAGAAAAACAATGTTAATCATAAAGATTCTACTTGAATTGAAATTAATTACTCAATGTCTTTGTCCAGTTACTTATCAGATTTATGTAGATATTCAAATCTTGATGGATTCCAAATCATTTAATTGGATAATGTTATTGAATCCTTTTCAAGTCAACTGAAAAAAAGTATGAAACATCCATGGTTTGAAAAAATGGCCAATTTTATATCATTGTTCACCAAATATATTACAGGTAAATAATGATGATATTTATCATTCGAACAACAATATGATTATATGAACAAATTGGCTACAAAAATTTCATAATTTTTTTACGATCAACAAACAAACAAATTTGTTTTTGTCAATGTTATCGATGATGATAATGATAATAAAGATAATAAACCATTAAATGGATGGATTAACGTTTTTTTTTTGCCAATAAAAAATATTTATTTCGATCATAACCTTAATTTTCAATATTGAAAAATACATTTCATTTCATGATTTGTCAGCAATTTTTTTCCATTATTATTATTATTATTATCATCATCATTATTATATTGATTTGTGGTCGACCATTCATGAAAAAATTAGAAAAAAAACGGAAAGAAAATGGCCTTCATTTTTCATTGTCTTCTTTTTAATATCATAAATAGGAAAAAACATTTTTTGCCGGTTTTTGTCTTTTATTCTGTCGTCTTAATGATAAACCGTTTATCAGTTAAGTTACAGATGGTATTTGGATGGAAATTTGCTGATCACATCAATTGTGTGTGTGTATGAAGAATCCAATATGATGCTAATTTTTTTTCTCTTTCAGTGAAACCCGATTAAAGACTGAATTTTTTTTGCTTCAGATTTGAAAATAATTCATAAATGAATATAATTCCAAGATAAAAGATGGCGCTAATGTTTTTCTCGGACCGCCAATTTTATAAAAATAATGTCTATCACAGAATATGGAATAAGAATTTTTTTTTGCTATATATTCGTGTCGATGAGTCAATTGTTTTATTTTGTTTTGATCTTCATCAAATGAAATTTGTAGTATGATTTTTTTTGAAATTTTTAGAAAATAAGGTGCAAAACAAAAATAATCCATCATGTCACGTATTATGAAAACATTAGTTTATATTCGTGATCGTATAACATTTTGGGCAATCAAAACAACAAATGAAAAATATGATGATGATGAAGATAATAATAATAATGAAGATGATGATGAAGCAATCGATCTGGATGAAATAGAATTTGATGGTCGTGGTATGCGTACCGAACGAATTCTTCGGGCAATCATTCGTGTACCGATACGATGGTTTCATTTAACCTATCATGCAAGAAAATTAGAACGTACAATGAATAAAGAACATCCTGAATGTCCTGTACGTGTACGTGTTGTTGATAGATTGGTTGGCAATAATTTCATTGAGAATATCTTCGATACTGGTTTGATGGTCATTCCTTGTTTATTTATATTCAGTTTTTTTCTTTGGGCATTGTCACAATTTGTTGCCCGATCATTTTTAGAACCAGCTTCTTATGCTATCGCAATTATTTCAGTATTCATATTTTTTGCATTCGGCATTGTATTTGTATTTGCTGCATTTTTTGGATATGAATTTGAATATGTTGATGGTAAAAAACATCCAAGACGTAAACGTAATCCACCAGAATCCTATCAGAAAATGGCATAAAATTTAAATTCGATTAATCATTAGTTGCCATACTATTATTATTCGTCTGTCAATCGAAACAAATCAAACACTTTTTTATATATAGAAATTGGTATAATTCGATCAATTATTGTCATTTGTAAAAACAAAAATTTCAACAATATGACTTCCTAATGATTGATAATCTATAATTGCATACAAATTCACATTTCATTTAGAATGGTCTTTTATCTTCTATACTTTAACTGGTAGGAGTTTGTCAACGACGAATGACGATGACAATTTTGTTTCGCTTCTCTTCGATACACATACTTGTTTTTTATTGATATATTTAAGCTTTTTTCTTTATATCTATAATGTAATGAAAATAAAATCAATTTATTATGAGAAACCTGTTTTGTATTTTTTTCTATTTTTCTATTCGAGGAGTGCGATATTTGATTGAAACAAACTATTCAAAATAATCATTTAATGATTGAAAATGACAACAAATTCGTAACAATTTCATCACTGAACTAAATATTTTCATAATTATCCTGGATACATACTATTCGATAATCGATTGTAGTCGATTCGATAGTCAATGTTTTTGTTTGATATTGCGATCAAAATTTTATCAATTATTATTTATTTTGAAATATTTTACCATTTATACCAAATTTAACATTGTGATATCGTTATGGTGATATATTAGGTATTAATCTTACTTTTATTTGTTCGGTCATTATCAACAAATTTTCGATGTTATACTTCTATTGTTATAATCACTCGAGTATGTAACAAATATGTAAGTTTATAAAAGATTGTAAAAAATCATCATATTATTTATGATATTTGTCTTTGTCTAATTGTCAATTGATCCTATGGACATTTTCATCATTGAACAGATACTGTTAAGTACTTTGAAATGTAAGCCACAATCAACAAGGAATCAACTCTTGCATAGACGGCCATTATGGCATTAACTATTCCATTTAATAATCTAATGCCGAGAATTCGTCTAATCATCTTTGTTTGTCTTGGTTTGTGGGTGATATTATTCCTGTTAAATAGTTTTTCACTAGTCAATCGGAATCTGATCAATTATTATTCCAATCAATACATACCATTTATTAATGAAACTACAATTGTTGTCGATAAAAATGGAACCATCACCACCGATATTACATATCATCAACTTGCCCAATATGTTCAGCTATCACCAGACAAAGTTCAAAAGTAAAATATTTATAAATATTATTATGATGAATGATAATCGTCAATTTTCTATTTGAATTCATTAGTTTTCAAATTATTCTTTTTTGGACCAAGTACTTTGGCGAAGACATAATGTATCAAATGAAAAAATCATTAAATGGCGATACAGAAAACATATTGTTTCGACCAAAACTATGTTATTATCGATATCCTAATTGTTTAGTCACAAGTAATCGTGCTTTCATTTCGTCAGCCAAAGTAATCATCTTTCATTGGAGAGATTTTTATTACGGTGATTTACCTAAACGGCATAATAGCAATCAATTATGGACTATTTATAATTTAGAAGCTCCACCTAATACGGCATTGTTGCCAGATAAAAATGATTTATATTTCAATCTGACCGCTTCTTATCGACATGATTCAGACATTTTTTTACCATATGGACAACTAATTGCTCGTAATCATAATTCTGATTTCGAATCTAACATTGATATTCGATATAAAATCAAACCAGTCGTTTGGTTTGTAAGCAATTGTCATACACAAAGCCATCGAGAAAATTATGTTAAAAAATTATCACAAATGGTACAGGTAGATATTTATGGTAAATGTGGTAAATTAAATTGCCCACATTCACAGCAATATGAATGCTATAAAAAAGTATCTCGTGAATATTTATTCTATTTATCATTCGAAAATTCACTTTGCAAGTAAGTTCTAAATATAGAATAATTTGAATTAATTTTCATACGATTTTTTCCAGAGATTATGTAACTGAAAAACTTTTCAACGTATTAAATTATGATATTGTGCCTATTGTGTTCGGTGGAGCCAATTATTCTTCTATATTGCCGGCCGGTTCTTATATTGATGCCACTCGAATGAAACCTAAAAGATTGGCCAATTTGATCATGCGAATAGCCAGTAATCGAAAACTTTATTTATCCTATTTCGAATGGAGGAAAAAATATCAACTGGATATTGAAGCAAGTTCTAATTTGGATTCAAATTTATATTGCCAACTTTGTAAACGATTGGAAGAGAATTCAATCAACAATCAAAATACATTCAAATCTAGTAAGGAAATTAATCATTGGTATTTCCACAATACTTGTCAAAACCCGAATATTTAATCATAGTTCATACTTTCATCATTGTGAATATATTCAAAAAATATTTTTAATTTTTTATAACATTAGTTAAAACGATTCTAGTCTTTGTTGATGTTTATAATCAAGATAATCACAGAAATTCATTTAAAAATTTGAATTTATTTAATAAAAACAGCATTATTTATCACAGTTACTTGTGACTAGTCACTTTGACAAGTCATCAACCAAGTTCAAATCGTAAATTCGACCAACGTCATTAACTTATATCAAAAGCAGCAATTATCTGGTGTTTTGGATCGAAATTCCGAAATGATTATATACTAATTTTGGATTTGGATTAATTTTTTAAATTGAATAAATAATTTTGGCAAACAAAATATTCAGATGTCATTTGAGGCATAAGTTTCGCATCATTTGTTCATATACAGTCCAAGCCATTGAAGCCATCAATGTTCGACGCATCATTCGTGGAACAAGACCAGCAAAAAGACCGCGCATCTTTTCTTCTTTCACAATGGATAGAGTTGTTTTCAGAAACGATGGATATTGTTTCGTATTAACTTGCATTCGAGTTTTGACCTGTTTTGATTAAAAAAAATACGTTAGTCATATTATGGAATGCAAATATACAAATAGAATACTAACCACGTCCATCGGTTGCGTTACAGCAGATGCAAAAAGCCCAGCCGTAACACCACATGCGAATGTAATGGATGATGATGAAATGATCTTCGAATACTGTTGTGAATTGCGCTGAATTTCTTCGGCGTTTTTGGTTATCATGAAATTTTTTAATTGTGAATAGAACATATAGTATAAGCCTGAGTATGGAACATCTCGCATTAAGGTTGGCAATAGGCCGGATTTTAATCCACGAAGACCTTCATTACGATATGTATGTCTTAATGCATCAATGATACTTTGATAGGCGTACACACCACTTTCATAGCGTGCTTTGACTACCGTAACCGGTATGAGTAATACAGCTGCAATACTACGGGACATCATGCCAAATGTCATTGCCTCAATGGCAGATGGTCGATGATTTGGACAAAAATGACTTTGTAAAGTGTCCAAACAACAGAAATGAATACCAATACCAGGAACACAACGAAGAAGTGACTAAATTTTTAAAAAACGTAATAAGAATTTATCATTCAAAAAAACAATCTATTTGAAAATACATACCGGTGCTGTACCTCGCCACAAACCAATAAACTGTTCATTTTTGATCGTTTCGAACGTGACCGTAACTAATCGAGTTGATGGCATCGCGGATGAAGAAACACTTTGGTTGCGACTAATTGCCAATGATGATAAGTGAGCATTTTGAACTCTGGTTTTAAGCAAATCGAATGGTTGAAACAAAAGTGTTGAACATGTCCCACTTAATGAACCGACCAAAAAGGATTTGAGCATCGGATGTTCGCTGAGGTATTGGACAAGAAATTTTTCTGTTTCATTTGAACCAAGTGATGTCTGAAAATTGGCCATCATTAGTCAAATATAAATTATTATTTGATAATAATGAAACGTGTTCAAAGGCTCAATAAGACTTAATGCAGCTCGACAACATTTTTACCGCTAATCTTATACTGGGAAAATTTTTCAAATTTTCTTATCAACTCTATTCATGATGGTCATTGAATGAATCTAATCGCTAAAATAATATAATCATAATATAACAATCGATACTGTTTTCAATGCCGCACAAACTTAGCATGACGCTGCATGTGATGTTTATCGTCCTGAACTCTATCATCAATAATCATATCATGATAAACAAATATCTATCGCAACATTTTTTTGTACATTTTCTTCACATGCGGCAAGGATATCCCATATTAGGAAGAATGTTATTATAATGATAAAAAAACCAGAAAAAAATGATGATACCCAAATATGGTTGATACTGAAAAAATGATGATAAAACCTCTGAAGCCTTAATGAACCGTCTCAAAACAGATGATGAAAGTTTACTTGAACTCACTATCGATGATATATCACCATTTTCATTAAGAATAGACTGCTCAGACGGCAACATGAGTAAATATTCAATTTCATGGCCATTATTTTTATCACAATGAACCATCGGTTTCATTTTTTGTTCTGATCGGAATGGGAATTTAACAGAAAAACGTGGAATCACGATCGAATGAATTGATATCAATGGAATTTGTGTGTTCAGATTGTTCAGCCGAAAAGTGAATGATCGAAAAGATGGTGGCGTTTGATGATGAGTATTTGTTGTGAATTTTTGGTGGCTTTCGTCATCTTTCCTATGCATAACCGGATTAATGTTCTAATTTTAAAGGTACAAGTTTTTCAAGATAATTCCAATGTTGTTTTTTAATCTAAAAAAAAGAAAAATGTAAAATTATTCTTAATTCATCTGATTCCAATATGATTATTCATCGAATAGTTTCTATTTTGCATTACGTAATTGAACTAAAAAAATGTGACAAAACCTTATTAGGTTTATCAGCATACATAAAAATTATTGTTAGTTTCATATCATCGTATCATATCATCATATGGGTTTTTGCCACTGTTGTTGCCAGTTTTTTACCACGATTTCATCTCGTGAAAAAATATCACCAATCAGCTTTTCTTTCGAACAACCTTCTGGATAAATATTGTAACAAAATCTTCTTCGTCGGAACCGGTTTAATTTAGGTGGCCAAAGCAAACTTTTGATTTCGGATAAGATCGATATCAATATTTTTTGTGTACCAAAGAAATAAGGATGAATGTAATATGTTAGAAATGATCTACACAACAAATTATTCTTTCGTAAGCGATAAACACCCAGTAGCCTTAATGATATATCACATGTGATACATTGACATCCGTTTAGTTTAGATTTCAAATTTTTTTCCATTCATTAGCTTGGTTAAATGGTGTCATAAGCTTTGAACAAACAAATCAAATTCGAAAACAGGCGCGATTTCATCAACAAACCAAATATTGATTTGAACATATGTCTAGCATGAATGTCAACAATCATATTATCACTTACCACACGATCAAATTGAAGAGACAAATTTGAAATTCAAAACAAACAAAAAAAACTTTCATATGTTTTTTTTCGAAAGCATTAACAAAACAAGATCAAAACATCTGGATTAATAAAAGAAAAAAAGAGCCATTTTCAAAATTAAAATTCAAAATTATGATCCCGTGACAACTTACGAAAAAATTAAAAAATTAAGTTTTAGATATGCATCAATTAAATTACATTAAATTAGTAAAAAAATAACTATATGAATCAAAACAAAACAGAAACAGGTTGGATTGCACTAAATTTTGCATTATCAAAAAAAAATCCGATAATAAAAGTCACCTTCCAACACACGAGTTATCCTAAAATGTTTATCCTGTAATCAAATATCAGATGGCAGCACCCGAATGTATCACAGGAGAAGAATTCGAATCTATTCCATTCGATAAAAAAAATTGTTAAAAAAAAGTTTAATTCAAAATTCTTTTTATCATTTCATTTTATTTACAAAAATAAATTTATAAATTTATTGTTTTTATATGTAAAATGTTTGTGTAGATGTGTGTCATTGTGAATGGCCAACGCAACCAGCCAGCAGTTGCTATTATAAATACAACAAACGAAAAAATAACAATAATCAAAAAAAAATATGGAATTTAAAAAAAATCAAAATTCATGAAAACAACTAAAAAAAAAATTTAAAAAACAATGATAACAATATCATCATCAATAACGAAACAAAAAGAAAAAACAACAAAAACAAATTGCTCAACTATAAACAATGGTAAAGATTGATAAAACATGGACTAACAATAACAGAAAAAAAAAGAAAAAATTCTTGAAATTAGAATTTTAATGAAAAAACTAGAAATATTCTGGAGGCTGGATTCGCTGTTTATGTGTGTGTGTGCTGGTTTGTGATGTGGTTAAGATGAAAGAAAAATGCAATGAGAATAATTACAAACAACATAACAAATCATCATCCAACAAAATGATTATAAATGGATTCCATTTTTTTTCTCCTTCATAAACACTATCCATAAATATGATCATTAAATTTTTTTTATATAATGAGGATAGAGATGTGAACACACACATAAAAATGACCGAAAAAAAAAGATTTTACAGAAATTTTTTTTTTGTTGTTGGTTAAATTTGCTCATCATTTTTCGGTACTTAGAAGAAAAAAATGACAACGGTCGACAACAGTGCATAACCAGAAAAAAACGAAAAAAAGAAAGGACAACCGTAATGATGACATTAATAATTATATAATGATTCCTTTCTTTTTGATGTCTCTCTCCTCCTGTCATTATCATTTCGTTGTCCATTCAATTTTCTTCATTATTCATTTTGTTTTTTTTTGAAATATCAAGCTTTTGCTGTTGATGGCGTTGTTGTTGATGATGATGATGATAATGATTATGATGATGCAAAAAAGAATATAAAGATCAAAAACGTTTTAACTTGATAATAATGCAAAACAAAATAAAAGGAAATGATGAATCTGAATTATGTTGACGAGTGTTTGTGTGTGTATGTGATTGAAAATGATGATAACCAACGAAATTATATAATTGAAAGCTGCATCCACCACATATCTATATCACAGCACAAATTGGATTGTTAGGTTTTTTTTCTTCAAAAAAATACAAACAATAAAAAAATGATGCTAATTTCACCAAATGTCCAACAACATTCGCTTAGGAATGATTTTCCTTCATTTCATAGCTTTTTTCCTTTTTTTTATCATTCGAATCGAATCATTTAGCAACAATCCAACGAAAAAGAATCGAATTGAATTCATTCATTTTTTCCAACTATTTTTTTTCTTCTTCAATTCCCATTTTTTGATGAATGGTGATTGACAAATGACCAGAAAATATAGACGAAAAATAAAAATAGAGAATAGGAGGGTCGAATCGCTCGATTCTTTAGGATTTTTTTTCAACTTTGACAAGAAAATAGTCGTTAAATTGTCGTCATCATCATCGTCATTATTATTTGGTTTAGAGAGAGTGAGGAAGATAGAAAAAACAGAATTTAATGGCTTTTTGCTCCAAAAATTTCTGTTTCAAAAACAATTTTCCTTCACTCTCCTCATCTCTTTCTCAACAAAAAAGACGAATCATATGATTCGGAAAAAGCAATATTATGGATGAAAATCATGATTTATATTTGAATGAATCTTCATTTTATCCTTTTTTTTCTCCTCACAAAATTAAATAAATAAATAATAGTATCAATAGCCATCCGTAACGATTACATCTTGAAACGGACGTTTACGTGTACATTCACGTACAACATTCAATATAATTGGTAATCGACGATCCAATGCCAACAAGTGATCATTAGTTAATATTGGTGATACGGGATCGACATTCATTGATTTATTCATTAGCTCTATTTATATTATAGATAGTGGCCAGATTGAAAAGAAAGAGAAAAAGAAATAAAAATAATAAAATTAAATCAATATTGGTTCTACAAATAGATATATATGTGATCATCGACAAAAATAAAATGTCTACTAACCACTTAATGGTATTTGGCCATTGTGTAAATCGATCAATCGTTGTAATGTGCTATTACGTATCATACAACATTGTATAATGGGCGCCAATATTGATATTTCATCATGATGTGCTTTACCAAATCTAATCAATTTATATAATAGAAAATATGATATGTGAATTGATGTGATTATTTAAAATGTATAACAATAGCAATAATAATAATAATAATAACGGAAAAGTCAACAACAACGACAAAATCAGTGATTGGGTTTTGTTATTATTATTAACAACAATAATTATAAAAGACAGTCTTACCCTCTACCATGATCTAGATGAATTATGAATGAATGATTGCCCAATGACTTGAATGTTTCATAATGATGTCTATCCATATTACCAATTAGAAAATCTAAAACAGCCATATCCATTAGATCGGCAAGACGACGACCATGATTATATGGTGGTGCGTGTCGTACATATTTATCACAGTAATCGGGATCATTTTCCCATGTTGCTCTACGACGTTTATGATATGAACGTCTATATGGGTGTCTATAAACCTTTATATATTAAAGAATATGAGAATAATTATTGATTATAAGAAAAACAATGAACAAACCTTTCTTGGAGCAATACTTTTGGATGGTAAAAATGCAGCAAAACTTCCTTCAACAGTATCAGGATTGCCACAGATTGCATGTGCAGTATCACAGTAATAGCCACATTTGCCATGAAAACACAAATTATTGGCTATCAAAAAAAAAGAGAATTTTAACATTAACGAAATAATGACCATTAAGCTATTGATTAAGAATCAGGGAAAGACAATTGTAATTAATTAATCAGATAAAATAACTTTTTTAATGTCGCTGCTATTGTTTTTAGTTCTTTTCCTTCATTTTTTGAATAAATAATACTAATGAATCTAATTGACATGGTAACAGCGGTATTTGGCATCAAAAAAACAAACAAGGAGTAGGTATTCATATGCATAATTTTGTCTGAATAGCGTATTGAAGAATTGTATTAAACTGAATGTGACCGATCATCATTCATTAGAATGGTCAGTATTCAAAAAGCATTTTTGTTTTGTTTTCATCCACTACAGTGTTTTAATAATAAATCGAAATGAATTTGTTTTTCATACAAAAAAACGAATAAGTTTTATATATTGATCATGTCATTGTACGTGTGTGAGTGTGTGTCTGATTTCGTTGAAATAAAATAGGAAACAAAATTAATTAAACAAAAGGAAATTATCAATGCTAAATGTAACTGGAGAATATTATTCTTTATGTACACAGACATGAAACGAAATGTATACACAGAATAACCAACAATAGAAAAAACACTGGACATGGCAAACATTATTATGAATGCGAGAAAAAACATCAAATTTCATTTTTATTCAATCAAACAAATTCTACCATCGATTCTCTTGAGATTGAATTGTTTTTTTTTCTGCTTCGTTATTATCAAACACAATGTGTTTGTATTATTTCATGTTGTAATGATGATGTTGATGATTGTAAATTGGAATGGACAGACGGAAAATATTCGTGCATGTTTAAAATGTAATGAATGAACAAAACATGTCGCCGTTCATGTTGTAATTTTTTTGTTGTTGTTGGGTGCCAATTTTCATTCTCTCAATTGCAGTCATATATTTCGCTTTTTCATTGATTTTCATTGATTCCATACCAAACATGATTCAAACTTTTTTCTATTTGTTTCATTAACGCTAGTTTAGTGTACGAATATTTGACAAGGTAATTTTTTTCACACTATGACTTTGTCCTTAGGAATGTGTGGTTACAATATAAGCTATAATTGATTAACGAACATATATATAGAATATATGTGATAAATAAAGTTTTCCTGTTTTTAATCAAATACCAATGGAAAAAAATCAAGCATAGTTCACCACCCACACCGAAGCACACAATGAAAAAGTGAATGAAACTGCTGTTTTCCATTCATCAGATTAGTTTAGGTTAGCGGGGATCGAGAGCAACCAACGAGAAATGGGAAATGAAAAAAAAGAAAAAATTTAATTAACTTACCTGGTGAAATGAAAAATGTTTTGATGAGATCATCATCAGCGATTGCATATATTTCCGATGTTATATTCAATACACGACCAATAACCGGTGGTGTACGACGAAATCCTAATATCCTAAATATATTCAATAAAAACAACAATTGTTCAATTTTTTTAAAAAAATTTATTTCCGATAAATGTACCTATCCAGATGATATGCTGCAATCTCGGCATTATGTCGTTCATAATCGGTAAAATAAAAATGATTTGGATCAGTTTCTTTATCACGTGAAAATCTTTGAGAAAAAAAAACGAAAAATTGAATTTTCATTAAAAAAACAACAATATCATACGTACCTCATTGGTTTAAACAAAGCTTTTCCTCCATTGTCATAGTTGATGATTAATTTCAATTGTGTACCACCTTCTTTTTGTGCTATTTAAAAAAAAAGAAAAAAACAAAAGTTATAAGTTTCATGATTCTGATTGAAAAACAAATCTGTGATTATTTAATCATTCAATTCTTTTTTGTTGTTTTTGATCAAATTAATGGATGATTGTTTCCAAGGAAAAAAAGAAGCAAAAAAACCTCAGAACTGACACATGCAATTACATAATGATATCGAAGTTAAAATACAGAAACACATGTCAAAAATGCATTACTTTTTTAGTCAAGAAAGATTAAAGTTTTCCAACAAATTGAATCGAATAAATAAAGAAAAGGAATGATTTCTCAACAAAAAAAACATTACTAGATAGCCAAATAAAAGTATTCATAGCTTTCATCATCAGTATTATTATTAATAAGCCATCATTATCTCGTATATATGACAGGCAATGTTTTTTTTTGTATTTCCTCTGTTTATTGTCTTGTTCAACCAATGATCATAATGGATTGATAATAGAGAGAAATGTATACGATTCTTAAAAAAATTCATCATTTTTTTAATGATAAATCACAGAGAACAACAAAAAAACATATAAATCTGATAACATCTTTTGGTTGAACAAGATGTTATCATTGTTTTGAAGATGATTTTCAGTCAACGAACAAAAAAAAACAAAAAACATAAAACAAAACAAAAATACTATTTCCACAAAATGTGTTATCATTATACATGATAGATAAAATTGGTCGGAACATTATCATCATCATCATCATCAACAACAACAAATAAATGAACATCGACTATTTTAACAAATAATAATGATAATAATAATAATAATTATGATTGAAAAACAGTAAGTAAAAAAAAAGTTTTCCATTTTCAAGAAAATCCTGAATATTATTATGAATTCAAGAATCAATGGGGAGTCGTCGAGTTTATCATCTACTTTTCTTTCCTATTATCATCAACATTATCATTTATAAACATGTGAAAATCTGTTCTATATATGCAAAGAAAGTTAAAAGGAAAAAATTCTGAATTTTGTCTGCGGGGGTAGACACAATGGGATGGTTATGGTATCTCTAATTGAGTTTTACACATCATAATAATGAACATTAAAGAGAAAATCGAATGAGGGAAAGGAGAAATAAATGATTGAATGAATGAATTTAAAGAATTTACAAATGTGAAAAGGGTAATGAAGAAAACATCATCATCTCGAAGAAAAATAGATCGGATTTTTTCATTCGTTTGTTTTTTTTCTCAAATCAAGTAGTATGTTTGTGAAGATGTTGTTTTCAACATTCATTTTATCCCCGTTCATTAAGAAAGTTGTTCAAAAAACCATTATTTTTTTTGGCTCTTTTAAAAAAGTCCATTTTTTAACGTTACTTTTGATTATTGGTGTTATTCTTGATGGTTGATGATGTGTGTGTGTGTGTGTGTGTGGTTCTTTTTTATCAAGGAAAAAAATACTAAAAACTTTTTAAACAAAAAAATTAATTTTAAAAACTTTTTTGGAAAAAAATTTGCTATCGTCATCATTCAACTAGCCATTTTTTTTGTTGCTAAAAAAAATAAAACAACAGAATCCATTTATGGGACAAGAGTGGGGTGAAATTAGTCCAATCAAGCGTGTGTTCAATAATATTGACGACGAGTATATGGATAGTGTGATCATCAAACAACCATTAGAATCGGTATTTTTGAAAAAAATAAATAATAATTCAAACTTACCAACATGAACAATGTCCAATGTTTCCATATCGTGTAATAATCGTTGTAATGGTTGACTATCAATTGGATATAATTCACGTTCAGTAATATCCATATAAAATTCTTCCCAAGATGTATGATTCGATGATGATGATGATCTGTGTACAAACATATACATTTTGTATTTTGTTGAACCCATAATAAAATGAGAAAAATAGAGAAAAAAACATGGATATAATTAGCAAATTGCCATTATACATTGTATCTAATTATAATGATTGTATGTTTGGTTGTGTTTTTCTAGTTTTCTTATCTAATTTTGTTGTCACATTATTAGAATTTGAAATACAAGTATAACATATTACAGACACAAAGATCCTATTTAACGGTATAGGATTTTTTTTCTCTGTTTTAATAAAAAAAAAGACACAAAGATGGTACCCAAACAAAGTTTTCTTTTATTAAATAGAATAACACACACACACAGTGAATTCTTACTATTCATTTATTTATATTAGAAAAAAATGCATTGGTTAGTGGTCAAGATTCTTTTATTTATTTATTTTTCTCTGAACTAAAAGAAAACCCATAATGATAATAATAAAAAAATTCAATTAGTAACCGAATAGACCATACTGTGCTGTTTGATTGAAATCTATATGAATGTATACATCTTTTGTGCATATAGAATAAATTCTATGATCACGATGATATAATGATAATAATCATTTTGTTGATCAGTGAAGAAACAACAAAAACAACAACAAATGAAAATAGTGACATTCTTCGAACAGCAACAAGATGATGATTTATTAAATTAAATGGTCACAAAATAACAACAACAGTAAAAAACTATCATCATCATCATCATTGTTTCCGTGGTTGTCCGGGATGTCGTCGTTTTCATTTTGGTATGTGTAATATTTAGAAAGAAAGCACAGCAGTAACTTTTTTCACAATTTGATGTTGTTGTTGTTGTCGTTTTTTTTCTTGATCTAGAAATTCCAACACAGAAAAATAAAGAATCCAAATATTTTGAAGATGATTCTTTGAAAAAAAACCAACACAAATTGATTTGTTGTTGAAATCCAAGCAAAAAAAATAAACAAACAACTGGATTATTATTATAAATGATTATTATTCAACCAATGTTTTGAGTTGAAAAAAAGTTCACCATCTTTTTTAGGGTAAGGGATTGCATTATTTTCCGCTGGTAACTGTTTGAAATCAGAATAACTGCCATCAATGAAAAAGAAAAAAACCCAAAATTTTTGCTCTCTTTTTTCAGTTTCATTTGATTACTATCTTTTTATTCAATGTCCAACGATGTGGATAGGAAAAAAATTGTTTTTTTTTCAACATTTAGAAAGTAAAAAATATGAATTTTGTATATAAAATATAAATTTAGCATAATATTTTCCTCAATTTTTTTTAACTAGAATCATTTATTATCATAAATGATCAACCCAGATACAGCAACAACCATAAAATGAAGATGAATCAAATCGAATGACCGGATGATAGAAAATGAAATGTTTCTGGTTGTATCAACTAATAGGAGAAAAAAAATGATGAACCAGAAAGAATCATAATTCAAAATATTGAAAAATATTAACCAGATTTTTCAATATTTATTCCTCCATATCACACACACACACAAACAAGCAGGAAAAAAACAGCACAAAAGTCCATTGGCTAGAACTTTGGTTGGTTGGTCACACAATTCTCCGATTCTCTTGGTCGAATCAAATTATCTAGTATGATGTGTATGTGTGTGTGCTTACTGTTCAATTTTTTTTGCCGAAGCTTGATTATACATTCATTTATTCAAACTTTTTTGGTGTTTTTTCTTTTTTTTTTGTCAAACTATCCAACAGAAAATGAATGAATGAATTTCAACCACTAATAGATCTACACACACATACTAAGTTACATGACATAATCTATCATCATTAGTGAAAAATATTGAGAAAAAAAAAGTTTCCGAAATTCAGTGGATTGGTGTAATTTGGTTTTTTTTCAAATTTGTTTATTTTTTATTCATTCATTCATTTCTTTAGTTTGTCGCACGCAATTGCCTATTGGGCAATTGTTTGTTTTTTCACTTCTATAACGCACGTCGTTTTATGTATAGAATTTTTTTTTCTTGTTTTAAAATCGTTCATTTGGATTATTATTGATGTATGTGTGTGCGAGGGTGATGGAGAGACGAGTGTGATTTTGTTTGTTTAGTTGGTATTATTATTATTATTATTAATAGAATTGTATTGAAATGACAACGAAGAGAAATAGACAGAAGAACGATATATAAATGATAATGATGATCGAAACAGATGTTACTCCAAATCGATCATTTTATAATATTAAAAAAGATGGAATGTGCAGAGAAAAAAATATTCAAAGTTTACTACCCATTCCATCATCGAATTATATTGAATAACATCAAAAAAAAACAGGCACGCAAAAATCCCTATCAAGGTATACACACAATCATGTTCAATGGTATACTTTTTTTGTTTGTTACACAATGATGATGATAAATATAGGATTATTAGATATATGGTCATTTTGTATTTCTACATTCATGCAAAAAAAAACAATGTATACACCCTCATTGATATTGATTCTCATATTTATTGTGTGAATAATATAACCTTTATTATTATTATCATCATCGTTTGATTGAAATGTCTTTGAGAATTTGTTTCTCTTTCACTATTTTTTAAATAGTTTCTGGTTTTGACATTTACATATTTTGTTTTTTGTCCCTTTATTCATATGAATAAAAATAATCGTTTTAACAATATTCATTATCATTATTGTTGTTATTATTATTATAAACAACGAATAAAAATTCTTTCTTTCTGTTTTTGTTCACGAATATGATTCCAGTAATGACATCATCATCATCAATGAAAATATAGAAAAGAAAAAACATTTTTTTTTTATAGAATACAAACAAAAAATAACGATGTTTATCGCGGCAATATGAATAACAATAATGAATTTTATTATTCAACCAAGTTTTCATTTCATTTTATGATTTTTTTTCTCTATTCATATCTATTAAAGAATCTAGATATATTATAAATTTTAAAAAGTAACACAACAATAATAAAATAATACAAATGATGCGTAACATGACCACATATATATGAAAACAAATTTTTTGTTCAAAATACAAACACTGATTTTTCATTCATCACACAAATACATATAAATTTTCGAAGAAATGTGGAAGGAGAAACAAACGAAGCGACAAACAATAAAATAGGAAAAAAAGAAAATTGCAAAAAGAAATTCTTTCTTTTTTAAAGAAAAATTTTATACAAATTTTTCTTATTCTCAATTTGAATGTGTTTTGTGAATATTTTGTTTGTTTGTGTTGTTGATGATGTTTTTTATTCTTTGTTGAAATGAAGGAAAAAAAAGAATCTCAAATAGCCATTGCCAATAATATAAATATCGTAGATGATGATAGACATCATCACACACCATACATACACAACACGATGAAAAACACATTTCAATTCATTTTAAATTTTCCCTATCTTTGTATATAGTGAATTGAATACGATTGTTAAAGCGAATGATGAAACAATTTAACGAAGAAAAAATTCTCATTTAAAATGATTCTTTGTACGTGTGTGTGCTATAAAATTTTAAATTCAAAAAAATTTAGCATCAAAAAAACTAAAAAAAGAACCGACCATAATCCAGAGAGCAGGAAAAAAATCACATTTTACAAAAAATGTTGCACACACCAAAGAGAAACAAATATACGAAACATAAATTATGTGCGGTACGGAATGAATTTTGTACATAGAGAAATTTGTTGTATTCAAAAATCGAAAGAAAACAACAAAAACAACGTCTGTTTGAAAATTTCAATCACATCTTTTGTGTTGACGACAGCTTTCTGATATTTTGGAATATTTTCTTTGAAATTTTTTTTTCATCAAAGTTTTTTCATGCTATTTACCGGTGAACGAATCTGAATTCATTGACGAAAACGAAAATTGTTGTTTGTAGGCAATGCTTTAGGCACAATCAAAACTGTAAACCAAGAATTTTCAAAAAAAAACAAATTACACTATGCAGTAAATTCTGTAACAAAAAACAAAAAATAAAATTGATCCAACTTGGCCTGGACCAGTCAGAAAACTTGTTTTCCATTTTACTTGACCGATTTTTCTCGCTTATTTTTTTCCAAGAAAAATGTAATGTGTTTTCTTCCTTCTTTCCATCATTCACACCAAATGTGACGGACCAATTGATATTGGAGAGAGGCAAAAGAAAATTGTTGAAAACATTTTTTTTCTCACTCTAATCTTCTTCTTTTTTTTCATTACACAATTATCATCATCATTGCAGCAATCACATACACTCTCTTATACATACAAAAATAGATGATAAAAATCTGTGACCAATTTTCATCTTTTAATATTTTTTTTTTTGGGTGCAAAAAAATATAAGATGAAAATTAGATTAGTATCAAACGGATGAAAAAAAGAAACAAAAATTTCTACAATTCTAAAATTGTACATCTAACAACCAGCTAATAATGATGTTGGTGATGATCATGATAGAAAAATCTATTGAAAACTTGATTTTCGTTATGTCCATTGAGAAAATTATCATTGACATTTTTTTAAGCAGAAAGTTTTCGAAAAATTTCTAGCTTTTTTTCTGCCGAATCAGAATTTTTTTTCAAGTTAAGAATCGCATATATTTCCCCCCCCAAAAAATGACAAAGATTCTCATGAGATTTTTCATTCATTCATGTCATTTTTTTTTGTTTGTTTCACTTTTGTTTTTCATTCATTCATTCACCACTTTAATACAAGAAAACAAAAAACAATTTTCTGTTGTTGATTATATATGTCAGTCTTTTATTTTTATCAACAAGAATTTCATCATCAGATCAGATCATTCAAGCTTATATATTTTAACCACTCAATCTACTTGTTTTTGTAATAATAATAATAATCTATTTGACTTTCCACACTTTTCTCTGCATGGAAAATATATCAGCACCGATTATGGATTTTCATTCAAAACACATACATTTTACACTGGATCAACCAAAATAATATTTTGACATTTTTCTGTAGAATCGATCCAAAACAAAAACAAAAAATATGAAACAAAAAAAAAA